GACTTAAGTGTTTTGTTAAGGATGAGCCCACTTTAAGTGCTCTCTCTTTATAATTTTCCTTCTTCCTAGAGGGCAAACAAAACCTGCAATGCAACAATCAATTGTTCAGATTAATGGCTCAAGAGATGATATGCTGAAGTCTCTGCGTTCTCTCCTAAAGAGACAAAGCTGCTATTTCTCTCCAGGTCTAACAAACAAACAAAAAACAGCAATGCACTACAATCCTAATTGACATTCCTTGTTACGTCTAACATAAACAAAGGTCAATAATGTTTGCCAGGCTCTCCCATGTGGGATCCCTGTCTGTTCCAAAAGAGCTTTCTTTTCTCATGGGAGCTAGAGAGTTAAATTCTGAACCAGAACCTGCCTGGCTGCTTGAAGCTCCTGCTGCTCCTCATTGAAACCACAGGGCAAGTTTCACTAACAAGCTAATCCTGTTAGGCTGTGCTTTAAACAGACTACCCCAGCTGCTTTAAAAACTCAAAGGATGTTTAAAACTTTTCTTCCCACCATACTATGAATCTGCCTTTCTCTCTAAAGGGTTGAGGCTACCTGGTTCCTGGTTTCTTGACAAAAATACATAGCCACATACAGGAACTTCAGGCTAGCCCACCGGAGACCAAATCAGGGAGACATCACGCAAACCCTGTCTTCAGGGTTTGCAAAAATTCTACAGGGTTTCTCGGTTCACTTGAAGACTCCTAAACTGACCACACTGCTCTCAGCATCTAATTGTCTGCACTCTACCATGCCGCCCCACCCTCCTCAGCCTTCTGTTTTGGGCGGTCAGCACCTAAAAGTCACACCGCCACTGCTTGCTTTTGTCTACAGTCTGAACTGTACAGATTCCACTTAACTCAAAAAAGAAACTCTCTTATCCTAACCCTAAGGAGCTATTTCTTCAGCTGTCTATTTGCCTTCCTATTAAATATCTGAGTTTACACGTCCTCTCTGTTATCGTGGTATCCCCATAAGAATTTAAAACACACTTTTCCTCCTTTACCCATAAAGCAGCCGTTTTAGGCATTTTAATCACCTGACTGTCTATGATACATTATAAAATACCTTATGGATTCATACTTAATCAGTCTGCTTATATATTGTGTTTTTGATTAAGAATCTCCTTATTTCTGGTTCAAAAAATCTCCTTATATATATTATGTTTCTGCTTAAGAATCTTCTTTTTTCTGATTAAGAGTCTCCTTATATATTGTATTTCTGCTTAAGAGGTTTTGTTTCTATATTAACATAACTTCATTATATTTTTTAGGCTAAATTTAACAGAGATAAAATATAAAGTTCCAAGTTTATATGATAACTAACTTATAAACTGTTAACAATAACATTACTCAAATAATAAACTATTAAAGATAATTAAGAAATACAGCCGAATGATTATCTAAACCATTATTTGGATAATTTCTTTAATTATTATGATTTTATTCTATGTATAAATATATAATGTATAGCTATATAATATACAATATATGTGATATATAAAATATATATAATAAAATAATTTAGAGGACAAATAAACTGTTAAGAATATTTTTTTTTTTGTTTTTTTGTTTTTTTTTTTTGAGACAGGTTTTTTTTGTGTGGTTTTGA